AAATCTTTAAAAAAAAAAAAAAGGGCAGCTAATACTACTGTTGCTATTTGGGGGCTGGGATAAACTTTGAGGGAATCCTCATGATACAAATAAACTTACCCTTTATAGATCTTGCTGCTTTGCCTTGGTTAAGGGTTTGGAACATGACTTAACCTCATAGATGTGTCTTACTCCTTTCTTTGGAAAAGCTGGTGATTGTCTTACTCTTTTCACTTGGTGGCCGGGGAGGGGGTGAGGAGGAGGAAGGCTGGATTCTGCCGATCTCGGCTCTAGGTCCAGTCATGGGTCGAGTTTCTGAGTGCCCAGAGACATCAACCTTGACCTGGTAGTGCACTAAAACTTCAGGAAGCTAAAATCAGGCAGAATTATTTAAGATGAGTCAGATCTCTTTAATCAGGATCTCTGAGAATCACTGCTTTAAATAATTTATTTCATGAGTAATTATTTTGTGCCTTTGAGGAAGGTAATGTACTAAGCCCTGCAGGGAATATATGGCTTTTGCCTTCTAGAGTTTTATTCCCTTTAGGTGCAATAAGTCACGTACGCATGTTTTTAAAGTAAAAGGCAGAGACTGTGCATTATAATGAACAATAAGATTTAGCTGTCCTTTATTGGTTACTTTAATATTTGCTGCTGTACCAGGCACTTTAGATACTACCTTATAAACCTCAGGAGTGTCCTTTGAGGAAGGTGCTGTTTTCCTTCATAGTGGAGGGAACTGAGGCCCTGAGAGCCCAAGGACAAGTAGCTAGTCAGAATTGGAGCTAGACATCTCCATCGTAAGAGGGGCAGGTAGAATGCGGGTCTTCTGAGAAGGAAGAGAGGCTTCTGTTTGGTGGGAGTGGGAGAGAGATCAAGGAAGTCTTTATGAAGAAGTGGCATTTGAATTGGGGCTCAAAGGATGGATAGGATTTTCGAGATCCAGCATAGGAAGGGGCTTTGAGGGGGAACAGGTGAGGGAATATGGGCAGTGACAGTCTGATTCCTTTGTTCTCCCTTGTCTTCTTTTTTCACTTAGAATGGAGTTGGCTTTTTGAATCTCAGTTGAGCTGGGGAGACACATGACTTCCACATGACAGAAGTGTGACTGCAGTCAGGAAAGGTTAAACTCTGCTTGACCTTGGACTCTTCAGTAACCCGAAGGGAGGAGAATCACAGGGGCTGGAGCAGTGGGAGGAGGTTTTGGGGGAAGGTGGAAATTCAGATGGGCCTTGAAGAATGGGTAGGATTTTGAGAGGACCGAAGTAAATGTTCAGGCATAAGGAGTAATACCAGAAACAGGACCCTAGAATCAGCCTGTTACAGAGCCTGAAAGAGCTTCTCTGTCAGGAGACTTCAGCAAGGTCTTTCACTGGAGAGGTAGGTAGCCCCCCAGAAGTTGGACAGCAAGGAGTCGAGGGGTGGGGGTTAGGAAAGCATAGGACAGAGGCCTCCCAGCAGCTCCTGTGTGAGAGATCAGGGCCTGGTTTAGTCTGGGGCAGGACATGTGGGATGGACACCCTTCTTGGGAATTCTAGGCAGCAGCAGTGGGAGGAGAGAAGCTGTCGTCCAGCACCAGGAAGGTCGAAGATCACCCCTTCCCTCAGCGGAGCCTGGTCTTCTTTTAGGCCTTCTGATAATCCCCCTTCTGTAGGTAGCTCAGGCTGTGCCGCCATCCTTTCAGTGCTTAGTGCCCTCAGATTTCGTTGAGGGATTGTAGCATGATTGGATCTGGGGTCCCGGGAATGTGCAAGTGTACAGAAGGGAACGGCATTTTGAGGAGTGAACGCAAGGAGGTCCTTTTGTTAGAGCGCACAAGCCACTGATACACGGAGAAGCTTCTTACATAGGACGGTCAGAGAGGATTTCAGTAAGCTGAGGGTTAGACTTAGGGTTTATTGTTTTTGAGGAGATGGTGAGATGACCAAGTGGAGCCACCCAGAGCCTTGTGGTATGTTCTAATCTTACCATCACATAGCTAAGAAAGTTAAAAGTAGCCTTCCGTGGGGCGCCTGGGTGGTTCAGGCGGTTGATTGCCTTCAGCTCAGGTCGTGATCCCAGGGTCCTGGGATCGAGCCCCACATCAGGCTCCTTGCTCAGCGGGGAGTCTGCTTCTCTCTCTGCCCCGCCCCTCAAAAAAGAAGACGAAGGTGGGGGGTAGCCTCCCGGATGCTGACCCTCGCTCATCCTCATTGCAGGGCCAGAGTGGGGAAGTCCTGACAGGGCATGAAGGAGGCGTACTCAGGCCAACCGCTGCGCTGGAAGGGGAGTCTCTTGCAGGACAAAAGCTTGCTTGTTCATTCAGTGAGCCAGTCTTCACTGAGGCCATATCATGTGCCAGACGCTGTGCCTGATGGTGGCCAACAGCATAGCCACGGTCCTGTCCCTTTCAGCTGTCTGATCCCCTAGAGGTGTGCTAGCACTGTCCTTGGCTGCCACTTCACTTGTGGAGGGGCGGGTGTATATTTCTCTTCATTCTTTATTTTTATTTCCTTGGCAGATAAAGCCACAGACCCAAGCGTGTCAGAACAGGATTGGTCCGCTATCCAGAATTTCTGTGACCAGGTGAACACCGATCCCAATGGGTAAGGTGACCTTCACACACATACACATGACTCGGGATACCTCAGACAAAGTGCATGCTTCGGTCTCTTGGGTCTGTTTTACCTAAGAGAAAGAAAGTGAGGCTTTCTTTCCTTTTTTTCCCTCCATGATCTGAGAACATTATTTTTCTGGAAATAGCAAATGGGAAAAAAATTGCAGTGTTCTAAGTGACTAATGCTAAGGAGACCCCTGAATGTTAGGGATAGAATGTAGCTAGGTTACGTAGGAATGTGAAAGAGATCAGTGTATTCTCCGTAATTTTAAATGTCCTCTTTCTTAAGAAAATGCAGGAAGAGGGTGAAATTTTGTTGGTTTCTGGTTTTGTTTTTGTTTTTAAATTTGGTTTCTGTTTCCAGAGCATCTGGATAGGAACTGAAGAATCATGTCAGCCATACACAAGTTTAATCTACATGATGCTGCATAGTCAGCATCTTGAAATGAGGGAAAAGTTTGATCACACTTCCTACTCCAGTGCTTACTGAACATTTGTCATCCGATAGGGTCTACTGCTCACGACCTGGTTACACACAGGTCTGGCCTTGAGTGCTCAGCTTGGAGTTCTAGGGGTGGGTTGGCTGCAGGGAGGAGGATGTCAGGTGCTGTCGCCGCACCAAGGGTGGGTGGGGGTTGGCCTCCTTCAGAGGCAGGTGTGTGGGCTGTGTGCCCGTCACTCCACCTCTGCTTTGGGACCCGTGCTTCTGGAAGAGAGGCCACTTGACGGAGCGTACTCAGCCATACCAGTTGGTTTCTTCCTCTCCACCCACAGCCCAGGTCTCTTTGTTTTCCCTTAGCCCAACCCACGCGCCCTGGCTACTGGCCCACAAGATCCAGTCTCCACAAGAGAAAGAAGCTCTTTATGCCTTAACGGTGAGTTTGGCTTGCCCCTGCACTTATGCTTTCTTGCCATGCAGCTAGAGAGCGCCGGACCCCAGGCCCATTTCACATGGTGGAGAGCGTCCGATAGCGAATTCTGTGCTTGGGTTGCCCCATCCTAGGTCTGTTTCGAGAGAGCAGCGTTGAGCCTGCTTTGGGGGAAGGAAAAGAAGGCTTTCTTTCCCTTAATCTTCCCCAGACCAGGGCTGGCGAGTTCAGGTGCCTCATGTAGCAGGGCCTGACTGGTCCCATAAATGAGCGAGCTGCTGGGTGAGGATGGAAACCCTGGAGAGCGTGAGGCCAGTGTGCAGAGGGCAGCTGTGGCACAGGACTGGCTGGCTCCTCCAGGCGTGTGGTTGGGACCTAGTGTTGCTGGAACTTTGTTTTCCAGGAGTCAGAGACCCAGAGTTTTATATCCATTCTCTGAGTTTATTGATGTTTGTGACTAATTTGAAATGTTAAACAATAGCACGAACCAAAGAAGATATGTGTGGGCCTGTCTTGCCGTTTGAGTGTCAGCAGGTGGCCTGTGGCTTAACAGTCCTTGTGTGCTACAGATCAGGTCTCTGCCTCTGAGGAGGACAGGATTCTCTAGCCAGTGTGTCCTGCGCACATGGTCTCCTTAAAAGGTGGGGTGGCCTCAGGCTACACCCCACTAAGCTTTCTCCTGGGCATAAACCTGGCAGTTACAGCAAGATCAGGCAGGTAGCAATTTTTTCTTAGTCTGAAAATGTCACCCTTCCTCAGACTATAGTGTCTTTGTCATCTTGAGGAAACACTAGCCATAGTTCCAGCAGATGCTCATCAGCTATGAGATGAGCCCTGAAGCCAATGCTTTTCCTTTTCTCATGGGGCTCCTGTGTCCATGCAGGTGCTGGAGATGTGCGTGAACCACTGTGGGGAGAAGTTCCACAATGAGGTGGCCAAATTCCGCTTCCTGAATGAGCTGATCAAAGTGTTGTCCCCGAAGGTGAGCAGCCTGGGCTTGGCTGTACTACACTTGCTCGCTGTACTGTCCCTGCCCCAGCCTTCAAACCCCGTGCCCCTTCTTGGTCCACTCACAACAGAGCATGTTGGCCAGTCCTGCTTCACAACAGAGCTGAGAGGGGATGTCCTGCACGCGAAAGCTTTCCTCTTTGCTGGATCGTAACCTTCTCGGGAGCTTCCCAGGTGTGATCGGAAATGGAACTTAGATAGGACGCTTGTCCTGGGTGGGTGGCAGCAAGGCAAGTAGATCTCCAGCCCTGCCACATCTTCAGAGTTTACATAAAGGCCTTAAGGGAGTTTAGTGAGTGGTACTGTGTCGGTGTTCTCCACACCACATCACTGTCTCATGGCTCTGTCCACATTCCCAGGACAGCAAAGGAGGTGAGAAACCTTAGTTTGCCCAAGTCCAGCACACAGGTCAACTGGCGGTCACATCTTTCTCGATGGCCTTTCCCAACACTCTCCAAGGTCTGGGATGCTGGTCATGTTCATCAGCTGAGCCCTGCCTTTGGTTGTCAGCATTTTCACATTCTCCCTTTAAAGATGGCCTTGGGATGGTTGGCCTAGAGGGGTGAGGAACTCAAGCTCGAGGACAGGTTTTTTGGTGGCGATGGCAAGAGATACCAAGTGTGGCTTTATGTCCCTTCTTGCTTGCCCTCTGCACCTTTTCTCCTGGCCCTTGTCTTAGCAACACCGTTCTTGGGTACCTAACTGGATGGAGCCCTTCTTTGCTCCTTCTCAGCAATTCTCTGATATCATCTGTGGGTAGTACAGTTTAATTCATTTCAGTTCTGCCACTAATTACCCGGAGTTATTATAGACCCTACACATGAAGGGCTCAGTCCTACCTAGACCTGCCTACGTCAGATACCAGCCAGGGGTCTTAGATGTCCCCAGGCTACTTCCTGCTCTCTGACCAACTACAAATTCAGGGGTTCCCGTGACTCCCTCCACCAGGTTTCGTAATTCACTAGAAAGACTCACAAAAGATAGGAAAGCACGATATTCACTATTATCCTTTTGTTATAAAGGATGTAAGTGGAAGAGATCCATAGACCAAGGTCTTGGGGGTGGGTGGGGACCGGAGCTTCCACACCACCCTCCCAGGACATCCATCTGTTCTAACTCTCCAAGGCTCCTTGTTTGCGAGTTTTTATCGGAAGTTATGTAGGCATTTTGATTAAATCATTAGCTAGGATTGAACTCCGTCTCCAGCCCCCGGCCCTCCTGGGAGTTGGGCTGAAAGTTCCAACCCTGTCATCACATGGTGGGTTTTTCTGAAGTGGTCAGTCTCTCCCTTGAAACTAAGCACCCACCATGAATGGTGAACATAAACTCACGTGTGGTCCAAGGGGGCTCATGGTGAATAACAAAAGCTATTTTTTTAAAGATTTTATTTATTCCTTTGACGGAGAGAGAGAGCACAAGCAGGCGGAGTAGCAAGCAGAGGGAGAGGGAGAAGCAGGCTCCCCCGTGAGCAAGGAGCCCGACGTGGGGCTCGATCCCAGGACCCTGGGATCATGACCTGAGCCGAAGGCAGTCGCTTAACCAACTGAGCCACCCAGGCGCCCCAACAAAAGCTATTCTTACAACTCAGGAAATTCCAAGGGTTTTTGAAACTGTGCCAGGAACTAGAGACAAAGACCAAATAAATTTTCATAATCTTGCCTCATTCAAAAAAGGAGTGTCCCCTGTGGCTCTAACCTAGCCCAATATATGGTGGGCTTCACTTGAGCAGTTGTGGAGGTTGACTCCTGGAAACCAAGAAGGCACCCTGGGGCTGGGGGCCAGCGGTTTGGCCTTTAGTGCCGCCCGTCTCCACCAGCCTTGGGCAGCTCGCTTCCCTGGACCTCAGTGGCCATCTCGTCCGTGGTAGCATGTGCTGGCTAAGTCCTTTCCAGCTTTGTAATTCTTCCCTTTTTATTTTTAGTACCTAGGGTCCTGGACCACAGAAAAAGTTAAAGGAAGAGTCATCGAAATACTCTTTAGTTGGACTGTCTGGTTTCCAGAGGATATCAAGATCCGAGACGCTTACCAGATGCTGAAGAAACAAGGTCGGGCTCTATGGCTTACATTGCATTTCCTCTTCGCAGTCGTCTTTTTTTTGTGTGCTTTGTGGTTTTTTCAGTGAAAGCTGGACATCTTGTGTAGGACAGTAGAGTCTGAGACAAGTGAATTTTTTAAAGATTTTATTTATTTATTTTTTAAAAGATTTATTTATTTGACAGAGAGATAGCACAAGTAGGCAGAGCGGCAGGCAGAGGGAGAGGGAGAAGCAGGCTCCCAGTCTAGCAGGGAGCCCAATGTGGGGCTCGATGCCAGGACCCTGGGATCATGACCTGAGCCGAAGGCAGACGCTTAACCAACTGAGCCACCCAGGCACCCTGATTTTTTTTTTTTTTAAACTTTATTCACTTGTTTGAGAGAGCGCATGAGCAGGTGGGAGGGGGAGAGGGAGAAGCAGACTCCCTACTGAGCAGAGGGAGAGGAAGAAGGAGGCTCCCAGCCTAGCAGGGAGCCCGATGTGGGGCTCGATGCCAGGACCCTGGGATCATGACCTGAGCTGAAGGCAGACGCTTAACCGACTGAGCTACCCAGGTGCCCCTGAGACAAATAATTTCTGATCACTGGAAATGGGCAGACCTTTCCTTCTTGTAGCAGGAGTTGAGCTGGGCTTGGGACTGCTGTTGCTATAGTTATCCTCATTCACTGTAGCAGATTTTAAATTCTTCCGGTGTCGGGTTGTATTGAGTGTGGGAGCTGATTTGCTAGAGTGTTTCTCAGTATCCACTCCATTTCAGCATTAGGTCTTCCTTTTTCCCTCTGCACCTCGGAGAGGGTCTTATTCTGGATACTTTTCTGATAGTCGACTGTTAAAACTTGTTACCCAATGCCAGTTAGCCTGGTGGAGGCAGGGGTCATTGTTCTCTGTTCTAAGCCTCGGTTTTAGGTGGGCATTGTGTCCCCGGGTCTTGGTAGCACCTGTTTGTGATCCTGCCCCTCCCCAGGGGCATAAGGCTTTCTTTTCTGTTCTGAAGCTGTAGTTGGTTTCTGCCGCTGCTCTGAGGACTGCAGGGTTTGATGTCTTTCCCAGCAGTTGAAGGTGTTTGTTCTGGAGGGAGAGAGAAGGACGGAAGTGCGACAGCAGGCCTTTCCCGTGTCTTTCCATGAGTGCCTGGTGAGGCCCTGTGAAGAGCCTGTTCCTCTTGCGGTGTGGGCCTCGGAGGTTCTGTGTTCTCTAGCTAGCTCACGCCGGCCTGTAAACAATTTATTTTATTTTATTTTTTTTTAAAGATTTTATTTATCTGAGAGAGAGAATGAGAGAGAGAGA